TGCATGTAATTTTTTTTCCAAAAACAACCGTTTTGATAAAGTTCGTGTCCTGCATATATATGAGGATGTAAATGTGATGGGAAAAATATTTAAAGTAAAACTGAAAGGTTAACTTTTTGCTGAGTAAAGAGGTGATCTAGGAAGGATGGTTCAATGGGGGCACACCACAGAGGAAAATTTTGCCCAATTAAGGAATGTTAGAAATATGTATACAGTAAACATACTAGAGTTGTATGTAAGTAGAATTTAGAAAGTTGTATACCCGAAAAATGGGTCGGTATCCTTTAAATCTTTTTTTTAGGCCTGTAGCTGGAATGCAAAAACAATTGTCGTATTACTGGAATATTACTAATTTCTAATAACCTTTATCCTTTGCTACATAACTCCGCTCTATCCACTTTAAATTATTCATTGTATCAGTCTTTTTTAGAACAATTGCTTTAACCCTATAAAGGCGGTGGGGTCTGAATCTATGTAAAGCCTGAGGGGGGCCTTTGGCGCCCCCCCCCCTAGAAAAAAGGCCTTTCAGAATAGGCATAGGGTTGAAATGCATGTTCATAGACCAATTTTTCATGGGAAGCTCAAAGAAAAACAATTGGACCGATAACTTTAATAGTTTTTGGTTTTTGGGAGGGTGAAAAAAAATACCTAAAAAAGGGTTAAAAAAATGAAAATTTTGTTTTTTGTTTTTAACAAATATCAAAACGTGACACATGTTTCAACATGCATTTTTAAGGGCTTTTAGATCTGTAGCTTTTGTCAAAAAAACAGTTATGGGCTAGTATAGATTTTTGTTCACAGACAGGTCTTTTTTTCCGCCCTGTACGTATAAATAAAAAAAATATTATTTAACAAATCCTTAAAATTACTATTCATTAATAGTCACAAAATTCCACGGTGATGGTGTCAAAAATGAGAGTGCTAGGACAAAAAAACTCCAGGGGGGCCCGAGCCTGTTTAGGGTTAACTCGAAATAATGTCAGAATAGCTAAACACCCATTTTAGAACCTTGTTTTGTAATGTTAAAAAAAATAAGTATTGCATGTTGTTCCAAATTAAGAATCCATCCATTCATCAGAAGTAATTCCTCGTCCTGTTCTCCCTGTTCTACTGCCAGGTGCCAACTTTAAGATATATTAACACAGAATAAACAAAATAATTATAATCAATTCTTCACGTTACAGAGGGGTAATTCGTTTTTAAAGGAAACCCCTCCACCTCACCTATTTATTGCACTGTATTGCCCCCCTCCCCCAGTCTCTTATTATAGCTTAACACCAAAAATGTGAAAATGGAGGTTAAAATGAAAATCTGGGATAATCATAGAACTTTGAAAATGAAAGACGACTTTTAGACTCAAGTTTTGACTTTAGATAGTCCAATGAACATGAGACACAGCAATTGCGCTGTGTGAACAAACTATTTTCTTTTTAATAAGTTACTTGTACAACTATTTGCTTCCTAATTAACTGCTTTCTGGGTCTTCCTGTTTTATTGGATTTTCTAGGAAATTTATAATAAAATACATAAAATAACAATTTGACACGTTTTAATTTTCACATAACAAACAAGGCTTTTTCTGTCCTGCCCCCCTCCCCACTCCTCTCCCTCCCTCTCAGCTAATATATCTTCTTCCTGTTGAGCGTCACATCTGCCAACTAATGTTTTCCAAGAAAGGATAATTTCATGGATTCTAGTTTGTCTAGAGTGTCTAGTTTGCATAGTTTTTCTTGTTTGTTTAGTTTTTCTAGTCTGTCTAGTTTTTCTTGTTTGTATAGCTTGTCTTGTTTGTCTAGCTTGTCTTGTTTGTCTAATTTGTCTAGTTTGTCTTGTTTGTCTAATTTGTCTAGATTTTCTAGTTTGTCTAGTTTATCTAGTTTGTCTAGTTTGTCTAGTTTTATTTAGTTTGTTTAGTTTATCTATTTAATCTATTTTGTCTAGTTTGTCTAATTTATCAAATTTTTCTAGTTTGTCTAATTTCTCTAGTTTGTCTATTTTGTGTTGTTTGTCTAGTTTATCTAGTTTGTCTTTTTTTCATTAAAGAAGTGTCTTTAATTATCTATAAAACAAGGAAGTGAAATCGATTTGAAAACAGTACATTGTACAGAATTAAATAGAATTGTTATAAATATGTTTGTTTGGTTCTATTGTCATCATTAACAGATGGTTTTAACAAATAAAAAGTAAGAAATTCCAGTTCAAACTTCACTTCAGGAATCCTTCAGGCTACAGCTTTAGATTAACATTTGGCATTCTAAAATCATTAATTATCTTACTTGCACATCACTTTCTTTACATTTACACTCAGGCACTTTAGGTACATTTTGAAAATAGAAAGCGTTTGCTTTAAATCAACTAATCTTCTGGCGTAAATAGTATAAAAGGCTTATGAAGACATAAATATATTTAAGATGTATGCATTTTACATTAAGCCACTTCATACATTTTCATAATTCATACATTTATCCATTAATACATTTGTGCTCTTACTCAGCAATTATACACCGTAATAACGTTTAATTGGAAGTAAATAAATTCTAAGAATGTTCTAAAAATATCAGTAGATCTAATTAGATTAAATTTTGAAAGGTTTATTATTTTCAATAGTGGATTTTCTACGAGATAACTTGTGCATTTCTTCCGCAGACTAGAGTACAGGCAAGGGGAGAAAATAATAAGAATAAAATATTTATTAAGTTAGAAACACGACTATATCTTCCACATTATCTAGGGTACCATTGTGAATCAAGCACCATCTTCCAAATAGAAGGTTAATTACACAACGATCCCTCTAAGTTATATTGGGTCTGTTTGTCTGTTGTAAGAGTGTCTGTCTGTTAGAAGACTTTTCTATTGCAGCTTTCTATAGTTTGATCAATATATTTATCAAATTATCTACTAGATTCCATTATAATTCCAGTTCCGTCAAACCAATAATGTTTTTCATATATTTTACAAACATCTAGACAACATAAACTTAAACCAAAAAAGAAAGATACCTAGGCGACGACTGTACGGAATTTATTAAGTTGTTTGTCTTACATTCAGGAAACTTGGATGTTTTCTTTGACATATTATTAAATGAACTATCTGAAGGTTAAGTTTATGGAAAGATCAAATTTATGCTGTAGATTTTTAATTTTTTAGATATGATGAAGTCTCATGTGTAGTGTATAACTCTAAATTCGATCCTTTTCAAGCTTTCTAACCCCTGGTGAGGTCGGGAGGACACGTTTCTAATAAACTAAAACATCAAAAAGTAACTGATCACTCTCCTCAAGCTCTAATATCTTTACATCCTGATTTCGTAGATCTTTCATTTTTAATAAAACTTTCCACTTTGCTAGATGAAATATGTGAAGTTTGAATAATCACAGTTTCAAATTATCAACTATAGCAAAGATATACAATATAACGATGTTTTTTTTAGGCTTAAAAGCGTAAACGTTCTTACTTATACACTGTACAGTTTAGACAAGTGAACATTTCTGTTGCTCTAAGGGAGAAAAATCGCTTTGAGCGATGCAATTTGGACAAGTGTCCAATAACTTTCTAGAATATTCCAAAATGATCTCACATTTTGCAGATCGAAATGGAAGTCCCGCTTTACGAGGAGCCCTACACGGAAACCAAACGACGAGATTTTGACACCAAAGTAGTGAACAGTCCTCAGAAAATAACTAGGAACAATTAACATCTTTAAATTTGTCAAGTGCTACAGTGCTACAGTGCTAACCAAACAAATACTCCTCCCCATTTGACCCTTTTTTCATCAATGTTTTATTCAAAATAGGACTTTATAAACATAATCATAATTTTAATTTCAAATTCGAATTAATTGCTCGCCTTAAAGTTTGATTTTCTAATCAGTATATATTTGCAACTGGATGTTTGTAGACCTATAAGTTATTCTGGACCAAGTCGTCAAAGTTTGAAATATAAAAGTTTAAAAAATTAGGCGCAATAATTATAAATTAGAGTCGAATATTCAGATCCTTTCTGATTGTGAGGAATTCAATAAAAATATAATAAACAATAAACATATAGACATACAGTTGTAACCAAAATAAAGCGATACGAAAGTCGTCTTTTTGTATTAGAAACTTATTATTCTTGTTATCACTGTATCCTTTTCTAATTCTTTTTAGAATATATATATATATATATATATATATATATATATAAATATATTATATGATGGGCTGATTTTTGGTAGCTAATAATTTGGTAACTAATTCATTTTGGTAGCTAACAATTTTGTAATTAATAATTTGCTAACCTCAAAATTTGGTAATCTCACAATATGGTAACTAACAATTTAGTAACTTGACAATTTGGTGACCTCGCCAAGGTTTGGTTAAGACAATTTCTGGGCCAAGCGCTGCGGCTAGAACAGGCTAGGGGGCCGAGCACTGCGGATATATTTATCGAGTGTTGCTGTTAGGAAAGTCTAGGGGGCCGTGTTTACAAACAGTTTTTTGTCATGCTAAACTTTTAAGAAATCAAACATATTGTTTTTTTTCTCTCTATGTATTCAATAAATAAAAATACAAACTATCATCGTTTAACATAAGTTTCAATTATACAAAATGTTAGTTACCAAATTGTTAGTTACCAATTTGTTAGTTACCAAATTGTCGGTTACCAAATTGTCAGTTTACCAAATTTTCAAGTTACCAAATTGTCAAGTTATCAAATTGTTGGGTTACCAAATTATCAGGTTACCAAATTATTAGTTATAAAAATGTTAGTTACCAAATTATTAGTAACCAAAAATCATATATATATATATATATATATCCTGAAGAATTCCCAGCATGAAACATAATGTCGATACAATAAAACATCAAATCATGTTTTGAATACTTCTCTACATTTTTCAAACTATGCATCGACAATATTTTGAATTTTTAAAATACAGAGTTGTGCCATCTCTTTCATTAAAACTTAATTTAAATCAAAACTTTGTCGTTGTTCAAAGATGTGTTCTTGTGTAGAAAGTTTAAAGAGAATCGTATAACTAGCGAATATTTGAGGGAGCACTGTAGAAAACACGATCTTTACATGACTCCCAGATTCAACACGGTCCTCTATCTGCATAATAAGGTGTACAGCTTGAACATAAACAAACTGTGGAATGATAAAAAGATGTATAAGCAATCTTATGAGTATTTCATCAATTATAAACCAAAAAATTTGACAAAAATTGGTGTTTCGTGTTGATTTTATGTTAAAGGCATGAATTAAATCTCCCTGCAGTATTTTTCCTGCTTTACAATTTTATGTAAAGTAGTAATCTCTTTTTCTTTATTTGTTTGTTGGTATGTCCGATCATAATTCATGAACCCCTTGACCGATTTGCCTCAAATTTGAAATAGGGAACTAGGGAGAAAAATAGTTAAAATCGTAATTTTGCCTCTGGATTTTTGAGACTGCTTTCTAGGTGCTTGAGAGGTTTAAAATTTTTCAAAAAGTATATTGCCGAAAGTTTATTTAAAAAAACGTTGTGATAAATATTAGCATATGTTAAATGTTTATTTTTAAATATGGCTTTTCAAACATTTAAATTCAAAGTTTTTTAAGATATTTTAGATTTTACCCACTTCGCTTTTTCTGATGAACAGACTTTTTTATTTCACAAATGGAATTGAGTCTTTGCCACAAGCTCTAATTTTCTAATCCCGAATTTCTTCAATCTGATGGTATATGAACCTGTGATCTTTGCCAAGAAGGGATTACAAAATAAGGGTTAGTGGCAAAAAATCAGTTCCTTTGTCCTCAATTGATCTGTTAGAAAATTGAAAATGTTTGAGTGTTCTAGTGTGCAACCTTTTTTTAAACTATGTAACCCCCCCCACCCCCCTCCAACCAGAACAGAGTTTATAAAGAAAATAACCTCTCTGATAAAGAGAAAATTTACACTCAATAATTTTTCTGCTCTAATATCAATCTTATATCGAATTTTAAACATAATTTAATGGAAGATTTTTATTGGCGAACAAATGCTTTAATTCTAACACATGCTATGTTTGCAAAAAATCGAAGAAAGCAAAGACGACTTTACAAAAAAAAAAGAATTAAAAGATTAAAAAGAGTTAAAAAAGATACTTTAAAATGCCCGTTTTTAATAAAACTATTATCTCTTTCACACTTTTTTTTACTTTTTTAACATTACAAATAAGTCTATAATTTTTATTTCTAAAAGTTGTTAGTTCATCGTCGAAAAATACTAACAATCCACCACCAATTTATATTCAATATAGTGTAAACAATAAATCTGTAACTTTCCTTATCTGGCCTTTCCTTTTCCTTTTATTTCTATTTTTATGTGTTTTTTAGAATTGGGGGGAAATATTCCCACAACCTCTACTTTTAGAGGTTTTTAAATTTATTCTCCTGAAACACTTAATTTTGTAAGTTTTTGTTTTATTTCATAAATAAATAATTTTGTACTTTACTAAAGTTGTAAAATAATAATGTTACAGAACAGTTCTCATATCTCATGTTTATTGGACCGGCAAACTAAACTCTTCGCATTTTCCCGAAGGATAAAAACTTATAAAGAAAATAAAATATTCTTCGATATCATAAAATGTTATTTTTTCTAACAAAATAAAACACTAAAAAAGAAGGTAAAAAATGGCAGAGTTTGTGTTGACAAAAAAATAAGAGTTTTAAAAAATCCAATTTAAAAATGAAGGGGTTCCATGAGATAGAAAACCTGGATGAATATGTTGGACTGAAATGTTTGTGGCTTGAAAACAATTGTATAACAGTAATTAAGGTAAAATTTTACTCTTAATTTGAATTATGAAATCCAAAATTGAAGGAAACATTTTTGTTAAATACCTCTGTACGATTCTCAAGATTTATTCGATTCAATCTGTTTGAGAGCGAACTATTCGGGTTAAATAAAGTTTTCAGTACTGTAAAAATATTTCTTTATTGTTACAGCTTTATTAAACTTAATTGAAGAAATTCCTGGAACGAAAAGATTTGCATAGATAACATAGAGACACAAAGATAAAAGTGCATAAATTTAAAACGAAAAATTAATTAATTCATTATAGGCATCTCAATTTAAAACGTATTTTTCAAAAAGAGTTTAACTTGATTGAAAAGAATATGGAATATACAAATCCTCTTCATCTGTTTTCAAAGAAATATCATTTCTAAGAGAGACTTAATCAAAATTATTCAAGGAAGACTTGCTTTTTAAATTATATTTAAATAAATACGTACTGACAAAACTGCAAAATACTCATCAGAAGTAGACATAATGATTATCATCATCAGTCCTAAAGCTATTCCAAATGTCTGATAGGCATTGACAACGCCGGTTACTTCTATTAGTATTTATATAATTTAATGATTCAGTGATCAAGTATCAATTTAAATATTTTAATTATTTCCAGGGACTCGAGCACTTGGTTCGGATAAAATGCCTCTTTCTACACGATAACAGGGAGATAACAGTCATTCTTTGCATTTATTCATCCTTTGCATTCATTCCTTGCAATCATTCTTTACATTCATCGTTTATATTCATTACTTGCAGTTATTCGTTGCATTCATGCATTGAATTCATTCTTTTAATTCGTTCTTTGCATTCATTCTTTGCATTCCTCCATTGCAATCATTCATCCTATTCATTTCTTGTAATTCTTGCATTCCTTTCTTGCATTCTTTCCTCTAATTTATTCATCCTTTGCATCCATTCATTGCATTACGGTTATGTTAACACGAATGTATTTGTGAATTGAAGTTTAAAGGGAGTGACCGGCTATGTACGGTAGTTGAACTGAGTATGCAGTGTTGTGGAAAACTTCTCTCGGATTCATTTGAGACATATTAAACTTTTTAAAGATCTGTAAATCCTGAGTTTGAGCGCAAATTCGACGTTCAAAACTCCTACTTTGGGGTGGATCTTTAATAAGTTTAATGTGTCTCAAATGAATCCGAAAGAAGTTTTCCACAACACTGCATACTCAGTTCAACTACCTTACATAGCCGGTCACTCCCTTTAAAGAACTGTTTCCGCAAAGGATAGAGCATATTCAAGGACTGACAAGTCTACAGTGTCTTTCTAACCTCAATCTCAGGTGAGCTTTTACATTTTCTCTTTGGGTTTGTTTTGATTATAAACCTTTAGATTTATCAATTATCCAGGTAACAATGTCTAACATTCAGTGCGGAAACTTTAAATGAATTGAGTCCTTGCCACAAACTCTGATTGTCTACACCCAATATATTTGCAACCCAATGTATCGTAGACCATTGTTATTTTGAACTCTGAATTGTGTTGGATTAAATAGTCTTGAAATAGGGTGAGACAATTAATGGCAAGGATGTTTTAAAAAGAAAAGCTGGAACCTAATTTATTTTGTCGGACCACAAGATTTACACTGGACCTTTCTGTAAGATTAACAAAACAAAAGTTCTGAACTCTGTATTTATTAAATTTATTAAAAGACCAACTGAAATGCCTGTGGAATTAAAAAGTTTTTTTTTACTTTTTTTAAGCCTATGTGACTTGCAGGGTACCATGGGTTCCCTTAAAAAATTTAAGCCCATTTGGTCCAGCCGTTTGGCCGGCTATACGGAACTTATTTACGAATGTCTTGTTTTATTATATACAGGGTGTCCCGCATCATATTAGACCGAGAACGGGTCTAAATTACGATTTTCGGGGCTAATTAGAAAATTTCATTAGAATGAATCCTTTTGAAAAATATTATAAGGCTTATATAAGAATTTTCTTGCGGAAAATGATAAGTTTTTCGAGTATTGGTTTATTTTGGTGTTAAAGATTGGAGATAATCTAATATGATATGGGACGCTCTGTAGATAGAGAAATGTGCGTGGTTTAAGATTAATATACCAATATCTCCTTACTGAGATATCAAAGGGTACAATTAATCATCTACAGATTTTATATCTAGTCTACGGTCTCTTTGGTTTTCGCAAAAACTTCTGTAAATTATAATATAGAATTTTAAAACACATCACAAATTACTCAAAAACAAAAACAACAACAAAAACGGAAAAGCTTAGTTAAAATAAAATTTTCTACTTATCTTTTTTTGTTCAGCAACAATTATATTTGCCACCTGGTGAACCTGAGGGACCTGCCCAATCTCCACATCCTCTCACTCAGCAGAAACAAACTCTGCTCCGCTGAGAACATCGAAGAACTAGGAAACACAACACATGTCTTGTTTAAAACTTTCAACAATATTTGAGAATAAAGTATAGAAACTTCTTTGTATAAAACTCTAACAATTTGAAGTTTTTATAAAGAAAATATTTGGTTATCGGCAAAAATGTTAACCATATTTTTTTTTAGAAGACAACCCGCTCCCCCCCCCCCCAAATCAGCTTAAGTAAATTGTGGAAAGAAAATGATTTTAAGGCTCTTGGGGACGGAATTTTCGTATGGAGTATCGCTAATCTTGATAGCTTGATCTCGATATCCACCAATGATGGGAATTTTTAATATGAAGATAATACCGTACTTAACTGACATTGCTCAAAATGGAGATCATTGTTTGATATTCACGATAAATACAAAACTTCTGACTTTTGGTTTATTTTCAATATCAAGAGTATCTTTTAACTTTTCTTTGAAAATTGTTTGAAGATAAACTTTTCAGAATTTTGAAGGTAACTAATCTATAGTCCCAGACAAGGCGAAAGGTTTTTATTTGATAACGATTCTCAGCGACCGAAGTTCGAACTCGATTGTGAACACTTTTAAATTGATATATGTTATGCCTGAAACCGGTGAACTTTTCCATCCCTGACTTCCATTACGATATAAAAGAAAATTCGAGTGATCCATCGTCGCGAGTCATTGAGAAATATGCCAATGTTTAAGAAGTAAAAGTATTAAAGCTCTATTAATATGACATTGTCATGTGTATTGTTTGATTAGAGTACTGCAAGGAGTTGTCTGTACTGGATTTATCAAACAACTCCCTAGATGGACCAGGGAATATAAACAAGTTTTTTATAGTTTTTGCAATTTTTAAACGACATGTTCAATTGCCGGTACTAGTTTTCTGATCAAGGATAATGCAGAAATCAATTGTGGTTTTCCTAAATTAATGAATTGTGGTTTCCCTGAATTTATGAATTGTGGTTTCCCTAAATTAATCAATTGTGGTTTCCCTAAATTAATCAATTGCGGTTTCACTAAATTAATCAATTGTGGTTTCTCTAAATTAATCAATTGTGGTTTCCCTAATTAATCAATTGTGGTTACCCTAAATTAATCAATTGTGGTTGCTCTAAATAAATGAATTGAGGTTTCCCTAAATTAATCAATTGTGGTTTCCCTAAATTAATCAACTGTGGTTTCCCTAAATTAATGAATTGTGATTTCCCTAAATTAATGAATTGTGGTTTCCCTAAATTAATAAATTGTGGTTTCCCTAAATTAATGAATTGTGGTTTCCCTAAATTAATGAATTTTGGTTTCCCAAAAGTAATGAATTGTGGTTTCCCTAAATTAATGGAGTGTGGTTTCCCTAAATTAATGAAGTGTGGTTTCCCTAAATTAATTCATTGTGGTTTCCCTAAATTAATGAATTGTGGTTTCCATAAATTAATCAATTGTGGTTTCCCTAAATTAATGAATTGTGGTTTCCCTAAATTAATGAATTGTGGTTTCCCTAAATTAACGAATTGTGGTTTCCCTAAATTTATGAATTGTGGTGTCCCTAAAGTAACGAATTGTGGTTTCCCTAAATTTATGAATTGTGGTTTCCCTAAATTAATCAATTGTGGTTTCCCTAAATTAATCAATTGCGGTTTCACTAAATTAATCAATTGTGGTTTCCCTAATTAATCAATTGTGGTTACCCTAAATTAATCAATTGTGGTTGCTCTAAATATATGAATTGAGGTTTCCCTAAATTAATCAATTGTGGTTTCCCTAAATTAATCAACTGTGGTTTCCCTAAATTAATGAATTGTGGTTTCCCTATATAATGAATTGTGGTTTCCCTAAATTAATAAATTGTGGTTTCCCTAAATTAATGAATTGTGGTTTCCCTAAATTAATGAATTGTGGTTTCCCAAACCTAATGAATTGTGGTTTCCCTAAATTAATGAAGTGTGGTTTCCCTAAATTAATGAAGTGTGGTTTCCCTAAATTAATGAATTTTGGTTTCCCAAAAGTAATGAATTGTGGTTTCCTAAATTAATGAAGTGTGGTTTCACTAAATTAATGAAGTGTGGTTTCCCTAAATAAATGAATTGTGGTTTCCCAAAACTAATGAATTGTGGTTTCCCTAAATTATTGAAGTGTGGTTTCCCTAAATTAATGAAGTGTGGTTTCCCTAAATTAATGAATTTTGGTTTTCCAAAAGTAATGAATTGTGGTTTCCCTAAATTAATGAAGTGTGGTTTCCCTAAATTAATTAATTGTGGTTTCCCTAAATTAATGAATTGTGGTTTCCATAAATTAATCAATTGTGGTTTCCCTAAATTAATGAATTGTTGTTTCCCTAAATTAATCAATTGTGGTTTTCCTAAATTAATGAATTGTGGTTTCCCTAAATAAATCAATAGTGGTTTCCCTAAATTAATGAATTGTGGTTTCCCTAAATTAATGAATTTTGGTTTCCCTAAATTAATCAATTGCGATTTTCCTAAATTAATCAATTGTGGTTTCCCTAAATTATTCAATTGTGGTTTTCCTAAATTAATCAATTGTAGTTACTCTAAATAAATGAATTGAGGTTTCCCTAAATTAATCAATTGTGGTTTTCCTAAATTAATCAACTGTGGTTTCCCTAAATTAGTGAATTGTGGTTTTCTATATTAATGAATTGTGGTTTCTCTAAATTAATAAATTATGGTTTCCCTAATTTAAACAAGTGTGGTTTCCCAAAATTAATGAATTGTGGTTTCCCTAAATTAATGAAGTGTGGTTTCATTAAATTAATGAAGTGTGGTTTCCCTAAATTAATTTATTGTGGTTTCCCTAAATTAATGAATTGTGGTTTCCCTAAATTAATAAATTGTGGTTTCCCTAAATTAATGAAGTGTGGTTTCCATAAATTAATGAATTTTGGTTTCCCAAAAGTAATGAATTGTGATTTCCTAAATTAATGAAGTGTGGTTTCACTAAATTAATGAAGTGTGGTTTCCCTAAATTAATTAATTGTGGTTTCCCTAAATTAATGAATTGTGGTTTCCATAAATTAATGAATTGTGGTTTCCCTAAATTAATGAATTGTGGTTTCCCAAAACTAATGAATTGTGGTTTCCCTAAATTAATGATTAGTGGTTTCCCTAAATTAATGAAGTGTGGTTTCCCTAAATTAATGAATTGTGGTTTTCCAAAAGTAATGAATTGTGGTTTCCTAAATTAATGGAGTGTGGTTTCCCTAAATTAATTAATTGTGGTTTCCCTAAATTAATGAATTGTGGTTTCCATAAAGTAATCAATTGTGGTTTCCCTAAATTAATGAATTGTGGTTTCCCTAAATTAATCAATTGTGGTTTCCCTAAATTAATGAATTGTGGTTTCCCTAAATAAATCAATTGTGGTTTCCCTAAATTAATGAATTGTGGTTTCCCTAAATTAATCAATTTTGGTTTCCCTAAATTAATGAATTGTGGTTTCCCTAAATTAATCAATTGCGGTTTTCCTAAATTAATCAATTGTGGTTTCCCTAAATTAATCAATTGTGGTTTTCCTAAATTAATCAATTGTAGTTACTCTAAATAAATGAATTGAGGTTTCCCTAAATTAATCAATTGTGGTTTTCCTAAATTAATCAACTGTGGTTTCCCTAAATTAGTGAATTGTGGTTTCCCTATAGTAATGAATTGTGGTTTCTCTAAATTAATAAATTGTGGTTTCCCTAATTTAAACAAGTGTGGTTTCCCAAAATTAATGAATTGTGGTTTCCCTAAATTAATGAAGTGTGGTTTCCCTAAATTAATGAAGTGTGGTTTCCCTAAATTAATTAATTGTGGTTTCCCTAAATTAATGAATTGTGGTTTCCCTAAATTAATAAATTGTGGTTTCCCTAAATTAATCAAGTGTGGTTTCCCTAAATTAATAAATTGTGGTTTCCCTAAATTAATCCAGTGTGGTTTCCCTATTATAAAGTAACTCGTGTATTTCTAGCAAACACAAGGAAGAAAGAAATTATTGATAATGAACGATATGTTCCTCGAATCCTCCATGTAAGATTTGTTACTCAGTAAAAGGTGCGTAAAGCATATCAATCAGACATGATATTATTATATATTGGTCTGATGTAACTAACTCATCAATCTACTTTCAAGACGGGAAAATATTAGCTTTCTTTTGTCTGCATTAAAAGTTAAATTTTTCGAATGCTTTTTTATGGATTAATCTATTCATAAAACTTGTTTGTCCCACCAGATGTTCTTGAAACCATAAGTAGGATTCAAAACCTACACGTTCTCACGCTAACAGGTAGGTTCAGAAACCAGGTAGGTTCATTAAGTTTTTGCCACAAACTTAAATCTTCGGATCCCAATATCTTTGCAACCTGATGTGCAAATATTTCAATCTTAGATTATTTGATCTGTAAGAATTTATAGTTTGCAATATCTAAGTTCTACGACATAATGTGTTACAAAGGTAAAGGGATAAGGAAATCAGGAAAACTCAATTTATTTAAAGAATTTTAGCTGCGTCGCTGATCTACCTACATGTCGGTTCAAATTTAAACCACTGATTCAAAGTTAAAGATTAGAGAAAGATTTGAATCGGTGGTTTAAATTTAAACCGGCTGTAGGCAGTTCAGCCAGGCCTACGCCTGGCTCCAATTCTTTAAATTTGGTCTCAGGAATAATTTGTTTTTCTGTTTCAGTAATTTTTAAATTTTTATTTTCTTTTAAATTCCGTTTTAAGGCTGAGGGTTTGAATTTAAATAAATATTGCTTATTAGCTAGTAGATGAATAATATCGAGGAACAACTCTGATTATCTTATTTCTATATCTTTGCAGCAAAATGTCGTAGATCAAATTGAAATATCAAAGATTTGCACAATTAGTTTGCAAAGATTTAGATTTAGGGATTTAAAAAATTGATTTTGTTGTAAAGACTCATTTTGTTTTTTGTTAAATTCAGAACTCGGTTTCAACATTTTCCTTGTTTTCTACAATTTTCTATATTCATGATCATGTTTTGTTCCAGGGAACCCCGTGGTTCGAAAGACTAAAGAGTACAGAAGGAATATGATCAACAAGGTATTTTTCTAAAACTTTAATCCTAGAGGAAACCGAGATTTCAGGGAGGATAGAATTTCATTGAAAAATAGAATTTCCGTGAACATAGAATTTCAGGAAGGATAGAATTCTAGGGAAAATATAGTTTCAAGGAAAATAGAATTTCAGTGAAAATAGAATTTCAGTGAAAAGATACTTTCAGTGAGAAGATATCTTCTGGGAGAATAGCATTTCAGGGTCAAGAGATTTTCAGTGAGGAAAGAATTTTAGAAGGATAGCACTTCAGAGAGGAAATAATTTCTGAGGGGAAGGAATTTAAAGAGGGATAGACTTTCATGAAGGATAGAATTTTAGGGAGTACAAAATTTAAGAATGGAATTTCAGGAAAGATAGAAATCGTGCATGGAGGGAAATATTAAAATTTTATAGAGAGGAGAAAAATTAGTACAATATTGGTTAAAATAAAAAAAATAATTAATTGAAATAATTATATTAATGATATTAAAAATGGTAATGACTATAACATTAATAGGAATTATAAAAATATCAATGTTCTTGGGAATCTTTATCTGCATTTCTCAATATTGAACATTTCTTATCTATATTTATGATAGTCAAGAGTATATACGTTAGATAATTTTATATAAAACATTTTTTCTGTATTTTTTAATACTCATCTTAAATATATTAGTTAATTTCTAATCAAACATTTTTTTATCCGTATTTTTTGATACTCATAAAAGATGCATTAAAAGTTCTTGTGAGTTGTATGGTTTCCTTGAAAAACATATTTAAATTATTAAACGGGGGGTAAATACGTGGGAAAATTCAAAAAGAAACTTTTTAATCCGCCGATTATGAAATCTGATTTAAGATGTTCCTAACCTTTTCTTCTTCAGTGCACTGTTCTAACCTTCCTGGATAACCGACCAATCAAACCAGTTGACCGCGCATGTATCTCTGCCTGGCTACAGGTATATATAAAAATTGCATTCACGGCTTTTTTACTATGCATGAAGCGGTCATGGCTTCAGTACTGTACATGTGGTGGTCATATATTGTATATGTATAATGCATATATTAAGAGCTCATTTTTTGTACACTGTATACAGATATTGGTCTTATTGTTTACAATGTACAATTTAGTGCATTCATGCACTGTCATTAATCGTACACTGTACGCATAGTGAAACACATGCAGTCATATTTTGTACATATATCAGTACATATATCAGTTATATTTTATGCTGCGCAAAAATTTTTAATTATATTTACAATATATTAAGCAAATGTAAAGTGAAAGTTTTTAAATAAAAATTTTTAAATCATGGAGAGTTGCCATTTCATAAAGAGACTGTAGACATGTCCGATTCACAATGGCACCCTTAAAAGCTTTGAATGGTCAAGAACGAATGATTTATCCATGTTTTATCTACTTTAAAAATTGATTATTTTTAAGTGGTTTCTATTAAAGAGTTTTGCAGATTAATGCTGCAGAAGAAAAAGAGGAAATTCCACAATTCCACACATTTCCTGATACTCTCTATCTTCCACCTAGAGTGAAATAAATGGAGGGGGAAGGGGGCATATCCCAAGCCCCCTTCTCTAATGTTGTCTCCATTCAAATCATACTTTTTTAGATACTGGTTATGTTTTATGCGTATTAAGTATATTATGCTCTGGTTGAGACCTAGATATACACATTTATCCTGTTTCCGATATTGGTAAACCAATAACATCTTATTTACCATCTTATTCCATACTATCTCTTCTTCTTCTTGCTTAGTAATCAGTATAAACCCTCTGTGCGTACATTAAGCACGTTCATTCACGTTCATTTGGAATTCTGTTGCACGGAATTGTGCAGAATTTTGCAAAATTGTGTGGAATTGCGCGGAAGTGTGCGGAATAACAGGGAATTGTGCAGAATTACACTTGAGCCAGGGAGAGGATCTCTCATAGCGGGTCCTGGCTTCACAGTTCGGAAGAACCCTGCAAAGAGTTGCACTCATAGCTTATCCTACAGAGGAGTAGCGAGTAAAACATAGGAGTTACATAAAATAGGAACTCCTTCTTCAGCTTGTCTCAGCTGAAAGAAAGAATATAACCTCTGATGGGTATACAAGCCATGCACAATAATACTTTTTTTTACTTGAATGGCTGTTTGGACTGGTCTACTGTGGAGGATTCCACCTGATGGGGCTTTAAGGCTTCCAGCTCCCCATTTTGCATAAGCGGGGCAGTAATGGGTTTCCTTAAATTCCTCTTAAGTTGGAAAGACGTAAACAGGAAGGAAAACAGGGAGCAATCCCTCAAACCCTTCCTCCTCCAAACCTTCTTATCTTTTTCCTACCTGCTCCACAACTTGATGTCACAGGAACAATTTTAAGAGGCCTCAAAGCGTAGACAAAAGAAACAAGAAGCATTAAGAAAGAAGAAATTGAACGGGAAAAATTGGAAGGGAAATCTCTGATGATATTCTATACACTTTGATATTTAATCATTTAATCTGTTAGTTGATCTGACTTGTATATTTTTAACTGCTCTATTTCAATCTGTAAAATCTGTGGATTTTATAAACTTGTACAGTGTACATACTATACATTCATTTTATAGATTGTTATCTGTATCTGTGGCCTTCATAGTACATTTGAACTTATTTCTCAGTTGAAGTACTATCAAAGATTTAATGAAAAGCTAGAAGTAGCTTAACCACACAGACGTAGTTCAAACACTACTCTTGTGTGCCAGCTTTCAAGTTGAATAAATGTTGTTAAACTACTTCTACTTGTTTCAACTATGTCTTGCTATTGAATAAATCTGGTTCTAGTTATATGAGCAGCCATTATTAATACATCAGTATCTTAACTTTCCTATAAACATGTATAAACAACTTTATCTGTTATTTTATCTATCTAATCTATGACCTGTATAAACCACTTTATCTGTTATTTTATCTATCTAATCTATGTCCTATATAAACCACTTTATCCGTTATTTTATCTATCTAATCCATGTCCTGTATAAACAACTTTATCTGTTATTTTATCTATCTAATCTATGTCCTATATAAACCACTTTATCTGTTATTTTATCTATCTAACCTATCTATGACCTGTATAGTCCACTTTATCTGTTATTTTATCTATCTAATCTATGACCTGTATAAACCACTTTACCTTTTAATTTATCTATCTAATCTATGACCTGTATAACCACTTTATCTGTTATTTTATCTATCTAATCTATGTCCTGTATAGTCCACTTTATCTGATATTTTATCTATCTAATCTATGACCTGTATAAACCATTTTATCTGTTATTTTATCCATTTAATCTATGTCCTATATAAACCACTTATCTGTTATTTTATCTATCTAACCTATGACCTGTATAAACCACTTTATCTGTTATTTTATCTATCTAATCTATGACCTATATAAACCACTTATCTGTTATTTTATCTATCTAATCTATGACCTATATAAACCACTTTATCTGTTATTCTAATCTATGACCTGTATAAAGTACCTTATCTGTTATTTTATCTATCTAATCTATGAACTGTATAAACAACTTTATCTGTTATTTTATCTATCTAATATATGACCTGTATAAACAACTTTATCTGTTATTTTATCTATCTAATCTATGACCTGTATAAACCATTTTATCTGTTATTTTATCCATTTAATTTATAACCTGTACAAACCACTACATCTGTGGTTTTATCTGTCTAATCTATAACCTGTACAAACCATTTGAAATTCGGTTATGGTGATGGACCAGACCTCTGTAGAGTAAAAAAAGTATATATTACTTCAACATTTTATTGAAAATATATTTCGGTCTGGGTTGACCCTTGTCTGTTCTTGATTTTGTTACTGTCGTGAAGATTAAAAACAAACCACTTTATCTCTTGATTTATCTTCTTAATCTATGACCTGTATAAATCATTTTATCTCTTATTTTTCCTATCTAATCTATGACCTGTAAAAATCATTTTATCTCTTATTTTTCCTATCTAATCTATGACCTGTATAAACCATTGTTTAGGGAGGAATAGAGGCAGAAAAAGAAGAAAGAGAAAGATGGCACAGGTAAACTATTTCAAAAGAAACAATTCTTGGAATCAGATAAATCATTTTAAAGGAACAAATCAAACATTTTTTAATGATTTATTTTGATAACAAATTAAAATAAATATTCACGTCAGGAACCCTGTTTTCATATTTAAAAGCAAAAGCTTTATTTATTAAAAATTTCATGAATTATCTACAAATTTTTAGAACAATATTATTGTTATTATGTCTTAATGTGTTTCAATAAATGAAATATCTGTTATGTTATTCATGGCTAGTTAAGAAAATTCAGGTGGGCTGAGAACGGTTTTAATCTATATTTATTAAAACAAGACATTCGTATATATAAATGTTGCGTATAGCCGGCCAAACGGCTTGACCGATTGGGCTGAAATTTTTTGAGGACACTCATGGGTGGCGGGGGGGGGGGGGGATATAGGCTAAAAAATTGATTTTTTCAATTTTTTTTCCACTGGCAAGTACTTATGTTTATTTACTTAGTAATTTGTCAAGTTTACTTGATTTTAAAACGATTATATATCTTACTTCTTCCATATTTGTATGCTGTTTTGTCATAACAATTTTGATAAAGGATTTGAGTCCTTGATTTACTAATCCCTGTATCTTTGCAACCCAATGTCGTATACCTTAGATATGTCAAACTGAATTGTTTCAGATCAAATGATCAAAGTTTGAAATATTAAAGGTTTACATAATCAGGTTGCAAAGATAGAGGTAGTAGAAGTTTTGAGTTTGTGGCAAAGACTCAATTCCTTTTAGATTGATAATTGTTCAGGGAAGAATTTGAACGGCAGCAAGCTAGCATAATAAGTTTAGGTAAAACTTAAACTAAAAAATTTTAGATTTTCCAAATTTCTTTTATTTAGTACATTTACATTTTAAGTACATCTTGTGAACATTTAATTTTTTTTGAACGAGTATTTTCCTTTTCACGTGTTACGTTTTTAAATTATTGAATTTTTTAAATTAACCCTAGTAGTACTGTACGTGTATTTATATAAACTGTATAATTAACCCTTAGTACTGTGTATATCTAAATAGTAAGGAGGAGGGATGAACGGTTGGCCCAGCGTGGAATATTAACAATAGAAGACCAGATCAGAGAAGCAGAAGAGCAAAATACAAGACTCAAAAATAGACTAAATAACCAGGCATGTAGAATACTTAACCCTATCCCCGCTGGGGTACTTGAAAACCAGTATACGCTGGGGGGGGGTCAATTTGACCCCCCCCCTCTAAATCCCATGTTTTATGTCTTAAGGATGATAGGACACCATTATACTATAAATTGGTTAGTATTGCTGTTTCCTCTAACTATAAAATATTTTTGCCAACAGAACTATATTTTTCCTTTCTCCACGATGGCCCCCAAAATTACTGTTACAAACCGTCCTTACACAAGTTGATCTAGAGACTAGATTATATGAATATAAAAAAATTGGAGGGGGTTGTGAGATAATTATTGTGTTTTGTCTAAATTACGATGCTTAAAATTGTATTCCCTTATTAACTACTAGACTATCAGGGCGTTTCGCGCCAATCATATATTGAAACTTTTAATTGTTGCTCAATCTTTCTCCATTTCTCTTCGATAAAACAAGAACATTTTTTTGCGGAATCACAATTTTTTTCTGGATTTTCAAAACTTTACGAAATCTAACATTTTTGAAGACTCTTTTTTGTAATTCTGAGGTCATGTGAGGTCCCACCCAAAATTCGAGCCCAATCGGTTCAGCCGTTTTGAAGTTTATTGGATTCAAACAAACAGACACCCAAACAGATAAGCAAAGTAAATATAGATAATTTGACAGGAAAGATCAGCTCTTGATAACTCACCTGAAGAAGAACCCCCTCTACTTGAGAATATTTGTCAAGGGGAGGTAAACACATTTTACCTGGTTAGATTTATCATAAAATAGTTGAAGGGGGGAGGGGGCTGGGGGAGGATCTTAATTTTTGTAAAGAAAAAGGGGCCCTCTTACCCCCCCCCCTTATGAAAAGCGCGATGTTAAAGTAAAATTTTTGCGATTCATTTTCCTAAAATATTTTAAAATAATTTAGAAAAATATTGACAAATATTTGAAAATATCCATTAACATGTTTAGAAATATTTACCTTTTCAACCGTTAGTACTTAAAAAACAAACAAATAAACTGTACTTAATTTATCATTCATGCATGAAAAATATCAAACAGAATCACAGTTTAAAAAGTGAGGGCATTTTCACTAATAAAGTAGCTTCAAATCTTTTATTTGAAATTGTACAAGGAGCATATTCATTTTAGCTTTCATTATCTTATGTTGTGATTAAAAAAGAGTAAGACTAAATTTTCATGAATGCATATAATTATATTTAGAATGACAAAGTTGAAGAAAAGACAGAAGGTGAATTGTTTGCTCAACGATTAAAAGAATCCTTTGCTGAACTGCTTAATGCTGACACTATTACAACTGCTGATATTAATCCAATTCTAAGTAGCGCCAAAACTGTTATTGATGCATTAGATACAGCTGATGTAAACCCTGCCAATGTTGATACTCAATCCAATATTGATAACAGTCTTAATTCTGATGAACAAAAAGCCAATGAAACTATTCAGAAAGACACTGATTTGGAGAATGATGTGACTGAAAATGTTTCAGAATCACTAGATGGGAAAAGCCAGGGGGAGAGTTGTAATCCATCTGAAAATGAGTCTCATGAAACAAAATCAATTAAACATCCAAATATTACTTATGAAATAGAATCATATGCAAGATTAGTTGAGGGATGTCAAATTGAACCATCCATCTTTATGACACCACAGGATAACATCTATAAAAATTCCGTCAATAAGATACAGCAACAAATATCTGAATCGTCTGTCAATGAGATACAGGCCAAAATCTCCGAATCCTCTGTCAATGAGATACAGGACAAATTCTCTGAATTGTCTGTCAATGAGATACAGGACAACATCTTTGAACCATACATTAATGAGATACAGGGCAAAATCTCTGAGCCCCAAGATGACTGTCTTCTGCCGCCCAAAGCTAAATGTGAAAGTGAGATAGGGGAGGTTGATATTGAAAGCACAGCAAATTTTTTAATAAAATTAAAAGAAATTGAAGAAAAGGTTTCTGTGGGCAAAGGAAAAGAAATCATTACAGAGAGTGAAACAACATATGATTTCTTAGATGATGAAATAGTCAATCTAGATGAGGATCAAAACAAGTTTGATGATAATATCGAAAAACAGAAATTTGACAATGACATTACTATCAATGATTTTCAGCAAGTTGTTGAAACAAATCACAAAGAACTTCCCCAAGGATTTCAGCAGATGAAGGATAAAGTTTCAAATGATAATTACGATGATGATGATGACATAGAAGAAATACCAAGAGATGATGAATTTTACCATCCAAGTCCCAAAATAATAGAATTTCTAGGAGTTGATATAGAAACGGAGAACATGAATGATCTTGACTTGGACCCTGTCAAAGCTTGGGAAAGAATACAAAGCTTTAAAAATTTTACATCAGCTGAAGTTTTACACAAACAATCAAAAAAAGATTTCCAAGGTAAAAAATTTTTTTTTAACACATATTGTTAGAACTGAATCAAACAAAAATTATTCATTTTCTCCTAGATGATCCATTTATGAGCACCAGAAAATCGGATGTTCTTTACTCAATGGGAAAAGTTCTTGATAATTATGACTTTGACGACGAAAAAACTGATAAAATATTAGGTACATATTTTTCGTCATATCATCATAACCAATATTTAAAGAGTTTTCTGTTATCCTTATTAAAACCTTTATGTTTACTCTGAATGAAACTCAGATAAAAATATTTTGATATTTCTATATTTCTTCTTCGCTTTCTTCTTGTTCCTCTTTCATAAATCTTTAAATCATATATTGGCTAATTTTGAAAAAAAAAATAAAATAAAAGGGATGTTCTTGTAAATTAGCCACTTTTACAAAGAGAACTATTTTTAAAAAGATCTTGTTTTTTTCTGAACCCTGTATTCATTTTGAGTAAAATGTCTGGTATTCTTTTCTTGGAAAGCTGAACAGGTAATTTGTAGTATTTCAATGTCAGATCTGAATTTATTGCTTGCACATGTTTGCTAGGGTCAGCTTTACACATTTTTTAGATAATTTAACTCCGGAAAGCTTTTTTGAAGGGACCTCTCCCCATCCTGTTTTTGTCTATGTTCCCTATTGGTAAAAAAAAGATAGTGTAAACCTTAAAACACCGCTTCTAATTTTCCTGTCCTTCATTTTCTTCTTTTTTCTTGTTTATATTGTTTTTGCACTTTAATGCCTTTCCTAATATTCCTTTTAACATCCGAGGTGTGGAAAAGGTAGATGAGAGAGATTAGGAGATTTGTACGAAGAAGGGTATAGGGGATTGCACCCTGTGTTCCTTCATTTTATACTGTTTCCCAGTTAGGGGAATTAAGGAAAACCCATAACTGCACCCCTTATGCAAAATGGGGAGTTGTGAGCCCTGTTCTATTATCCTTTTTTTTTAATTATTGGGCCTGGAATATAATATTTACAATTTTAAAAAGGCCCTTGAAAGAAAATATAAATTATCATAATATTCAATCAAATATTTGACAAAAATGAAAATATTATGTTTTCTCCAAATTGTCTGCCCTGCTTTTTGCAGTTTTTGGAACCAACTTGCTTTTTAACAATTAAACTTAGAATTTTTAAAATGAGCTGACCTTAAGAAATTTGGCCAGGATGTAACATATATTTCATTTAAATGTCTATGACATAAAGTAATTCTCTCCTCAAAAGGGGTATGCCTGATTCATTCACATGGTTCCCTTTAAATCTTTGTCTGGGCGAAATGATTGTGATATCTTTGTTTTCTACCAGAAAAGTGATAGTGACTTGCGGATTTCTGCAGCAGGGACGATAATGCAAATTAAGAGAATTCATATTTTTTCATGACAGAAAAATGAGAATCAGGCATGGCGACACTTTAAAAGATTGAGGGTCACAGTTGATTAATCTGTTTCCTAGGCCCTGAGATATTGCGGCTTCAAGCTCGATCTAGGATGAGGTCGGATGATACAGTACTTTCCGATCAAGATGTTCTTAATATTGGACGTGGTTTGATCAATACTAGAGATAGTTCAAGCTCAAGAACGGAGAACATTAAAGTAACTGCCAGTAGATTTACACCTCTACCCTCTATTAGTTCTTCAGATAGCGAGGATTCAAGCAAAGCATCGGTAACAAAAATAATAAAAGAGAAAAAATCACATATTTAATATTATACGCCAATTTTCGGAGTGAGAAGACAAATAAAACTATACATTTCAATTTTCATGATGTTTCTAAAAACGAAAAAAATAGATTTGTTAAATAAGAACGTCTTATTTACAAGTTATGAATAAAAAACTTACTTTGAAATATAAATGTTAAGCTTTAGACATTTTTATATTACTTTATTGCAGGATGAACATTTGAATGTTTCTTCTGGAGAACACTTTTGGATAAGGTCTAGTAAAGCAGCTTCTCCACTACCAAACCTTGATTGCAGAGCAGCTTCTCCACTACCAAACCTTGATTGCAGAGCAGCTTCTCCACTACCAAACCTTGATTGCAGAGCAGCTTCTCCACTACCAAACCTTGATTGCAGAGCAGCTTCTCCACTACCAAACCTTGATTGCAGAGCAACATCTCCACTACCAAACCTTGATTGTAGAACAACATCTCCACTACCAAACCTTGATCGTAGCGCCTGTTCTCCTCCTACCACCATTAACCCTAGAACCCCATCCCCTCTTCTCCCAATCCCTGATCAAGGTTCAGCATCTAAGATTCAAAAACTAAACTTCCAAAAGCTGACACCAATTAAAACTTCTGCTGGCATGCTCGCAGAGTTCAATATTCAATCAAACTCTACTCCAGTCGTAAAACCAACAGAAAGAATAAGTTCGGCTGGGAACACATTATTCAGTTCCAGAGAGGAACGTGTCAAAGTTCAAGAAACACTGATGTTAAATATTGTAGAAAATGGAACTGAAGGTTTAGGGGATAAGAATAAACCTATCCTTCAGAGACCTCTAATAGAAGAACTAGACTAGACCTTTCTAATAAAGTTCCTTGATAGAATAACTATATACTAGACCTATCTTACAAAGACCCATGATAGAGAGGAGTATTAGACTAGACCTATCCTACAGAGACCCATGATAAAAGAACATTAGAATAGACCTATCCTGCAGAGAACCCTAACAGACGAACATTAGACTAGACCTATCCTACAGAGACCCCTGATAGAATAACTATAGACTAGACCTATCCTGCAGAGACCTATGATAGAAGAACTAGATTATAGACCTATCCAATAGATTCCTATGATAGAAGAACTAGATTAGACCTATCCTACAGAGATCCTTGATATAGTAGAACTAACGTAGACCTATCCTACAGAGACCCCTGATATAGTAGAACTAGATTAGACCCATCCTACAGAGACCCCTGATATAGAAGAACTAAATAAGACCTATCCTACAGAGACCCCTGATATAGTAGCACTAGATTAGACCTATCCTACAGAGACCCCTGATATAGAAGAACTAATTAAGACCTATCCTACAGAGACTCCTGATATAGAAGAACTAAATAAGACCTATCCTATAGAGACCCCTGATATAGAAGAACTAAATAAGACCTATCCTACAGAGACCCCTGATATAGAAGAACTAAATAAGACCTATCCTACAGAGACCTCCTGATATATATATAAGAACTAAATAAGGTCTATCCTACAGAGACCTCCTGATATATATATAAGAACTAAATAAGGTCTATCCTACATGAGACCCCTGATATAGAAGAACTAAATAAGACCTATCCTACAGAGACCTCCTGATATATATATAAGAACTAAATAAGGTCTATCCTACATGAGACCCCTGATATAGAAGAACTAAATAAGACCTATCCTACAGAGACCTCCTGATATATATATAAGAACTAAATAAGGTCTATCCTACAGAGACCCCTGATATAGAAGAAATAAATAAGACCTATCCTACAGAGACCTCCTGATATATATATAAGAACTAAATAAGGTCTATCCTACAGAGACCCCTGATATAGAAGAACTTAACTAGATCATGAATACCGTTGTCTGTCTTTAAAATTTAGTTTATAGTTGTAAAGTGTTTGTTGATTTTCTAATAAATACATAAAAAATTGCGACTAAATATGTGTGGGATGGGAAGTACAAGGTATATTTTCACCTAAAGTGAACCTATCATTAGAATCAACTGATCAACTACGTTTAAAATCTAAATAAAAATCATGTTTCATTTACTTACAACTATTGAAAGAAAAAAATCAAAACTAACATTTTAGTCTTAAAATAATCAAAATTACACTTTTTGTAAAAATCTTTTTTACATTCTTTTTGGACGACTATATATCCTTGCTATATTTAGAAACGATGAAAATATGTAAAATAAATATGCTTTTTGTATTTTTAATCAGGCTAAATTGCATTCCTTAAAGTTTATTTAAAGCTCATACAAAGCTGCTTTAACACTTAACAATCCAAATAAAACATGTGTCCAACAAAAACAACTTGTTAAAACGTTATCCAGAGGCTGATTATAAGTAACAGTTCTTTTGTCTAAATAATGATGGATTAGAGTAAGCACCTTCACGTGTATATCTATATATAAACTAGCCTTAGAGGGCGCTTCGCTTCGTAAAACAAAACAAAAATAATTCGCGGATTTTCACAAAAAATTTCAAGGATTTTCAAAATTTTTCAAAATTTAATGACGATCGAATTTTGATGGAGACAAATATTTGAAATTTTGATTTTTCATAAACCTTCCCTGGGGTCCCTAGATGTCCCACAAAAAATTTGGGCCCGATCGGTTCAGCCGTTTTGACGTTTATTGGATACAAACAGACAAACAAACACCCAAACACCCAAACAGACAAGCCAAATTTATATATAGATTTGTCTTGTCTGTCTGTTTGTCTGTCTTGGTGTCTGTTTGTTTGTATCCAATAAACGTCGAAACGGCTGAACCAATCGGTACCAAACTTTTTGTGGGACATCACGTGACCACAGGGAAGGTTTATGTATGATAAAAATTTTAAAAAAATTTGTTTTAAAGGTTTTTAATTTTGTAAAAAAAAAATTCTTGAAAATCCGCAATTTTTTTTTAAAAATTCGCAAATTTTTTTCTGCTTTGTTTTGAAATGTAAACAAAAAGAACATGTTCACAATTTTAATAAAAGATGGGCGCGAATCGCCCTAAAAGTCTAGAAAGAAGGGCGCGAAGCGCCTTGAATTTCTAGTATATCTATATATATTCTATACACGCTTATGATTATACATTATACTCTATACCTTGGTGTAGATGATACGGTAGTCTAAACAAATCAATTATATAACACCATTAGTGGATTCAGCATGGATAGGTTTAGGATCATTCAAATATACCACCTCCTTGAGCTATTCAACTGAATATATAGGCATTAATAAACAGAATATCTGAAACATAATCAATTTTAAATTTGGATTAAAAAGATAATATATTTCTGCTGTTTCCAAAAACCCAAAGGTGGGAACTCTTGCATTGTGTATAGCAAGATCAATGCTGCTTGATCTTAATTTTTTTTTCAGATCTACGGATTAATATAATTTCTATTCGAAATCACGTGATGGTCATTTGTCAAGCCCTGCAGAGATAACATTAATTGCGGAATCGAGCATTGACCATCAAATTCAAAAGTCTCCACATTGGATATTGAGATCAAGCGTTCAAAATGTACAATTTTAGAAAGCAGCACTATTTCACATTTTTGTTTGACATTCCCGTTAAGCTTTGGATTGTCTTTACAACTAAAATAGTCGACACGATTTCTCCCTTTTAATTATAGATATTTTCCATATTTGTTTGTGCATCTGTCTATCTGTCTATCTGTCTATCTGTCTATATGTCTATCTGTCTATCTGTCTATCTGTCTATCTGTCTATCTGTGATGCTATCAATAAAATGTATCTTGACAGTTTAATCCTATGGATTGGCAGGTTGGCTGCTCAAACACTGTTTTCAAATTTCTACAGTTTAAATGAAAATATAAATATATTTGGCAATTATAGTGCTTCCTCCCACTGTCGAAATATTTACAAGTAGTTAATAACATAAAAATTACACTTTTTCGATTTTTAAAATGTTGATGAATGAAAACCTCATAGCTGTTATAAGCATTTACTTTTATATTCTGACATGAATTTGGCTATGCATTTTACCAAGAATGTTTCTTGGTATATCTTCTTTACTTTTTACCATTAAGCTTCAAAGTTAGAAACGTTAGAAAATGGGGGAAAGGGTGTAAAGAAAAAAAGATAATTATATTGCTTCTTTTCTAAACTGATGGATCTCCTGCGTAAAGGAATTAAGTTTTTGCCAGAACCTCAAATTTTTGGATTCCTATTTCTTTGCAGCCTGATGGTGTACAATTTTGATATTTCAAACTTAGATTAATTGATATAACACAATTAATAGTTTGAAATATCTAAGGTCTAAGACATTGGATTGCAAAGAACTCAGAGTTTGTTACAAGAACTCAGTTCCCTTTGAAGACTACATTTACGTGTGGTTAATTTATAATTATAACTGTTTAAGTCCAAAGGGGGCTCTGCTGCCGACGCCCTTCCCCTCCTTCAGTTCCACTTCCGAGTCTGTATTCATCTATCTAAAAGTCTACCCAGACTTCCTATATGAATATTTCTAATATATTTATAGCTGTGAAGATTAAAGCGTAATAATGTGCGTGTAAACACGTCTAGATTGATAAAACACTAATGTTTTTATCCACTCAATCCTCACTTATTGATCAAACTGACCTTCATGGGATGAGGATGAACCTGAGTGGGATGAGGAATGATTAAACATGATAAATTCTATGATTATGGAGGAGAAGAGGAGGGGGGTGGGGGGGGCTATATTTAAGAACAATTTATTGAGCTTGTATAGTTTGTATTAAGCCTATTAAGTATACCGGAAAACGTTTACAGAATTATCTTTATCATTAATATTTGTGTAAATTATACCGGAAAACGTTTACAGAATTATCTTTATCATTAATATTTGTGTAAATTTGATAATGGTATTGTTTAAACGCAATACAGGAGGTGGGGAGGGGGGGGCGATAATTTTAAAATAGTGGATTGTCCGATGCAAAACAACTAAATTCGAAAATATTTTAAAGGTGAGTGAGTTCTTCCTTAAAAAAAATAATCAATCCCAATTACTGACTTAAAATTTACAGAACTTAAAGCCATAACAAAAAAGATTTGCACATTGTTTTTACCTCAACATGACATATCATAAATATTAACAAGAAATGCTTTTGGAACCGTTTTGCAAGCCTCCCACGGCAGTAGCACTCTGTAAAAATTGAATTTAAGTTGTAAAATGTTTAGCTAAAACTTCAAGAAAGTTAGTTAAAAAATTTAAAACCTCGTCTGAGCAAAGAAATTATCCTTGTTTTTTATTCAAATATTTTTTTTATTTTTTATTTATGAATAAGTAAAAACTATGAAAATGTTATACTTTTAAAGAGATATCAATGATATCTATCAAATAAATGCTTTAACGGTACCGTTGGCAATCGAGGATGAAGCTGTGAAACGAGGGAAGAGGGTTCACATTAAATCTTGTCGCCTGTCTCTTTAAGATAATTTTGAGTGTATGGATGGGGGGGGGGGTGCAAACTACTGGCCTCGTACTAAAATCAACAATTTCAAGCTTATCAGATTTACTGCACTCCACTCCACTGTGCTGAATTCTGAGTGATCACTTTAATCATGAATAACACAATAAGGAAATAGGCAAATAACTACTAAGAGATAATAGAGAAGGGGGGGGGAGTTCTTTGTTTGAACAATTTTTGTTACTTTTCCTTCAAAAACTTTTTAAAAAGTTTAATAAACCCAAAGAACAGAACAATAGTTTGTCAAATATTTAGCCTTTTCAATAAGTTTTTAGCAAAATCTAAAATCTTCTTTTAAAATGCACTTTTTGGACTTCAATCCAATTTATTGCTTTTAAATAAAACTTCTGTCGCAAAAAATTTTACAGCGCTTATTTTCGTCTGGAAAAATTCCTTTTTTAGTTTTGAATATAGATAAGGGTTTTCTTTATCCGAAAACCTTAAATGCAAGGGGTTAATTTAAAGTGAGAAAATCCTAGATGGTTCGAATACTCTAATGTAATTATCTATTTTTTGTGTTGCATTTATGACATGCACAATAAAATGATAAAAAGTTTTCCAAAAAAACGTAATCTTTTTATATTAAGTAGTAATCTTTGTTTGTTTGTAAGCTCAGATGTCCGATCCTAACTCAGGAACCCCTTGACCAAAGCGCCTCAATTTTTGATTAGGGATCTCGAGAGAACCACGGGAATGTGCCTAGCTTGGTTTTCAAAATTTAAGTTGAGTGGGTTGTCTTTTTATGGGAAAGCTCCAGGCAAAGCTGTGTTCCCAAGCTCATACACAATAAAATTATAAATTTTACAGAAACAATTATTTGAATAAAAATCCATGCCCGACCAAAAAACTTTCCCGTCGTGTGTATTTTTGTTTTTTATTTTTTATTCCTACTCTGTAAAAGAAAAGAAAAAAAACTGAAGATGTATGATGTAGATATATCTATGTGTATAAATATTTGCCTTTACTGTAGTTGTTTTTTTTTGGTTTATTTGTATCCAATAAATGTCTAATATAGATGTAAGAGTATAA